TTTATAAGCGTAGCTGCGCGGACGCGCCATCGAAGATTTTTATAACGTACGCGCCGATTTTTATAGGCGCATCCGAAGTTGTGCACGAGCTCTTAATGTTAGTCAAACTCCTATTAAACATGATGCTATCATTAACGCCCTGTTTCCCGAAGGGAGGGCTTCGCCCGGGCATCTATAAAATTGTATTCCTTTAAAGAAATAGTATGCTCTGCATTTCCCCTCTCCTTATTTTTCCTCCGGGCGAAGCCCTCCGTAGGAAAGCGCTACGCGCAGGAAAAATTAAAGAAAGAATGAGAATAGAATGCGCCAATAAAAATCGGCCACAAATAAGGAGCTATTGCTATTCTATTCCTATTTGTTGTTATGATGCTTAATCTACAACTAACTGAACTAAGTGCAGTTGGTACAGAATATACAAAAAATCTACCACTAGGTACAATTATTGGAAGTCGCGCCAATAAAAATCTTCGGCTAATAAAAATCGCGCGTAGCGCATTTTTATAAGCGCGTTAGCGCAAAAATATTCTATTCTATTTTTTATTGGCGCGCGGCGCCCTATTTGAACTAGTATCAATTGTACCGCCTCAGGATCAGACGGTACATTTAATATTAGTACAGTTACTAATCTTCTACCTCAAGCTGAACTAGGTATCCTTAATTGGTTTAATTCTGTATGCGCGGTGTTAAATCCGCACAAGCGCGTACGCGCGCCCGATGTATACTACACATTTAATACTGCCCGCGCGTACGCGCTCCCCGGGCCCCTTCGGGAAACAGGGGAGGGCTTCGCCCGGGCGCTGCTGATACACAATTTGCTAGTTTCCTACAAATCCGCCGAAGGCGTATTGGTTACAGTATTTATACGCCTTCGGCGGTGCTCTATGGCTTATTGTTGCAAGTGTTATCCTTCTTCTTGCGGACCTATTACACTTTCAATGAACAAAATTTCTGCTAATTAAATTCTTGGGCTCCGCCCCCCCCCGCGCCATTCTTTTTATGCGCGACGGGGGGCGCCCGCGCTATGCGCAAAGATTTTATTAGCAGCGCCTTATTTTTCCCTATCCCCGCAGGGGGGGGATAGGGAAAAATCGAAGATTTTTATAGGCGCATTAGAAAAATTAGCACTCAAATTAAAAATAAAAAAAAAAAAAGGAAGCGACGTTTTACTCAAAAATCTTTTGTTGATGCAAAAAGAGGAATCTATATTAGTAAATAAATTGCTAGACTAGTTTTTATACGTATAAAAATTTAACAACAGTGATTAGGAAATAGAAAATTTTATGCGCGTACGCGCGCCTTACAAATTCTTCTTATTTACTTTACAATCGAATTTACTTATTAGATAAAATAGTACTAATATAATCTTAGATTTTAGTAGGCTCTATTTTCTAAGGCGCTAGAATAATGATTGATTAAAATATAATAGTCGCGCCTGCGCGTAAGCGCCTTTTACTAGTAAATTAACTTTTATAAGCGTAGCTGCGCGTACGCGCCTTTGATTTTATAACTATGCATCTTCGATAGGGCGGGCTTCGCCCCCCTCCGTACGCGCTAATAGGGCGCGCGTAGCGCCCCACTAGTAAATTTTATAACGCCTCCGGCGCGCCGATTTTATTAAAAAAGAAAGCGCTAGAATAAACAACTATTAGTATGACAACAACGCTATAAAGTCATAGATCTATAATCGCTAAAAAAACAAAAATAAGAAAACTTTTAGTACTCTACATATAAAGATAAAAAAGAACGACTGAAGTATAAAATTAATTAATTAAAAGGAGGGGCGGAGCCCCGGGCTTCGCCCGCGCGGAGCGCAAAATTTTATAACCCCGCGCAAAATATTCTATTTTTCCCCGCGAAAAATCGAAGATTTTTATTGGCGCTACTATTTTATAGGAAAATGATAAAATTTCCCTTTCTTTACTTTAATTTTACGTGCTGCTTTCACTTTTAAAGCCGCGCCTATAAAAAATATTCGCGCTCCGCCTCTTTTTTTTTATTAAAAAAAAAGAAGGGCTACGCTTATAAAATTAAATTGTAGGCGCCGCGCGTTAGCGCAAAAATAGAATATTTTTTCCTTTATAGGCGCTTATAAAAATATTCGGCTAATAAAAATCGAAGATTTTTATAAACGCGCATTCCGCGGTTATTTTATTTATTACTTAATCAATCTAAAAGTACTGCTTTATATACAGTTTAGTAATATTACTATATTTCTATCTTATAAAGTTATTCTATAAAATAAATACAGGAGACTCTTTTGGTTTATAGAATACTATTTTCTTACTATAATTGGTTACAATTACTTAGTAATGATATAGGGTTAGCAAAGCTATTATTCTATATAAATATATTGTAAAAATGTTTAATCTATCTCGAGCTCCTATTACAGTAGTTTTTAACGATGCACCGGCAACTAGGATTCCAAGATGGTGCATCACCATGTCTTATTTACTGTATCTCACTAGTCTTTCTACTATCTATTCCTGTTCTTATTAGTTGCAATGATACTTATCGAGATAAGTATAATAAAGAACTAAATATAGTAGCAGATGTATTTATCTATATTAGTATTATTTGCCTCTTCTATCTAGTATGAAACTATCTAGGCCCCGGACCTATCGAATGTGCATCAGAACTAGATCATGAGCTAGAGCTACGAAAAGACTCAAATCGCTCAATGAGCGAAAATACCAAAGCAGCAATTGTCGCGGGATGGTTGGAACGGTTGGTGCTGCTATTCTCAAGGTGAAAGCAGGATCACCAGTAGTTAAAACAGGGATCTTTTTTGGAACGGTACTCGCCGGTGGGCGCCAATAAAAATCAAAGATTTTTCGCTAACGCCATAAAAATATTTTTATAGGCGCGGTATTAACGGGATACTTGAAACAGGTAATAAAGGCCACATGGCAAATATGAGCGCGCCAGTATTTGCGCGTAAAGCTCCTACTCCTAGTACACCTATTTCAGATGTAGCCCGCGCTACACGTGGGAGAAGACCGCGCCTATAAAAATCTTTGATTTTTATTGGCGCGGGCAACGAACATACAATATTCATTCACCTCTCGAGAATAACTCGGACTCTACCGGTTCACTATTTTGGGATTACCTACCTAAATTCCTACCTGACTGGATGAACCAGGATATTGCTAGTCGACTACCTAGTTCTCCGAATAATGGGACATACCGCGCCGCGCGCCAATAAAAAATAGAATAGAATAGAATATTTTTGCGCTAACGCGCTTATAAAAATGCGCTACGCGCGATTTTTATTAGCCGCGCATTTTTATGGCGTTAGCGCAAAATCAAAATCTTTGATTTTTATTGGCGCCTATTTATGCAATATAATCTTTTTATTTATATTCTGTGTATCCTGTTTTTTTTTACTCTTCTTTGTATTGGACTGATCAGTATTCTTACATGGACTAAAAACAATCGAGAGTATCTGATTGAAAAGGTACTACCAACATTTCTCGCTAAGTTTCTACCTTCTAAATCAGTTCTTGACGCGCGCGTAGCGCATCCTTATAAATAAAGTATCGCTTATCATTTATGCTGTATCATATAGTTATGGACTTTATTTTCTTTACATAAACCCTATTCCAGGAGAGCGCTACGCGCGGAATGATATGTGACAATCTGATAATTGTACCCCCGCGCCTTTGATTTTTATTGGCGCTCATTTTATAACTTTGTGTTAGTTGATAATTCAACTATAATTATCCACTGCTAATATAATCGAAGATTATATAAGGCGCGACGGCCGAAAATATTTTTTTATCGTAACTAGTTTTTAGATAAGGATTGGATTACTATTTACAATAGACCGCGCGTACGCGCTCTGTTTTCCTGCGCGTTATAAAATCGCGCCTGCGCCAATGCGCGCTTATAAAAATCGCCTATAAAAAATATTCTGCGCGGACGCGCATTGGCGCAGCCGAATATTTTTTCTTTATAAGCGCCTACAATTTTATTAGCCTTCGATTTTTATAACGGAGCGCCGGCGCGTACGCGCGCCCGCCGTAGGCGCGCGTAGCGCCTTTGAAATTTTATAGGGCGGCGCATTTTATTAGGGGGGCGCCCCTAATAAAAGTAATACTGATTAATGCCTATTTTATTGCCTTGATAAAATGATGGAACCCGCGCGTAAGCGCATCTTCGGCTTATAAAAATCGCGCGTAGCGCATTTTTATAAGCGCGTTAGCGCAAAAATATTCTATTATATTTTTTATTGGCGCGCCTATCGGCGGGCACTATTTTACGGCGAAGCCCTTTATAAGAATAGCTATCTTTTATATACTCTGAGTCGAGTACAGATGGCTTCTGTTGGGGAACTGCAAATTCTACCATCTAGGGTTCAATTCCCTCTCGACTCTACAATATCTTACCAACTCATTATTGTAAATACCGCGCGTAGCGCCTATAAAAATCGAAGGCGCCGATAAAAATCGAAGGCGCATTTTTATTAGCGCGAGTTAAAAACCTTTGATTTATAAGGTTTATCTGCTCCCTCCTTAGGAAATCGCGCCGCGCGCCAATAAAAAATAGAATGCGCGTACGCGCGCGCTAACGCGCTTATAAAAATAGAAGGCGCCGCGCGTTAGCGCAAAAATATTCTATAGGGCTATAAAATTGTAGGCGCCTATAAAAAATATTCTATAGGGCGGGGCGGAGCCCCCTTATAAAATTGTAGGCGCGTCCGCGCAGGCGCAGGCGCAGCCGAGCCGAATATTTTTTCTTTTATAGGCGCGGTCGAAGTTTTATTACGGACGACTAAATCAAACAAAAATTTGTAGAAGATAGCGCCTATAAAAAATATTCTATTTTTTATTGGCGCTTATAAAAATCTGCGATTTTTATTAGCTACGCCCGGCGCGTTTAGATACATGAAAAGATCTCCGCGCAACTATTAGTAATTTATATATATAGATTATCAGTCAATAGTGCGGTCTCAATAAAAATAGTATGAAGTATTTTATAAGTATAGTAATAAATAATTATAAAAGAATATCGTATAATGGTAATACAATGATCTCCAAAGTCATTTATGTTGGTTCGATTCCAGCTGTTCTTGTAAACTTGTGCTAATAAAATCTACTATTTTATTAGGCGCCTGGGCGTAGCCCCTATTTACAATTTTATAGCCCTAATAAAAATCTTCGATTTTTATAACCCGATTTTTATAAGCGCCTTTTCCTAGGAAATTGAATTTTGCCTACGGCGGTTATAAAATTTACTAGGGGGCGAAGCCCTATTAGCCCTATCGAAGATTTTGCGCTACGCGCTAATAAAATTTACTGCGCCTAATAAAATTTACAATTTTATAAGCGTAGCCCTATCAAAGATTTTTCCTTTATAGGCGCGGGCGAAGCCCTATAAGTGTAGCCCTATCGAAGAGGCCGCGCTACGGTTATAAAATTTACTAGGGGGGCGCTACGCGCGCCCTATTAGCGTAGCCCCTATCGAATATTTTTCCTTTATAGGCGCTACGGAGGTTATAAAATTTACTAGTAAATTTTATTAGCCCTATCGAAGATTTTGCGGTTATAAAATTTACTGCGCCCTATTAGCGTAGCCTAATAAAAAGATTTTTATAACTAGCGCCTTTGATTTTATAACGCCCTATAAAATTTTGCGCTCCGCGCGGGCGAAGCCCGCCTACGGCGGGCGCGCGGGGCTACGCCCAGGCGCTTAATTAATATTCTTGTATAGGAACTGAAAACATCTTTTATAAAGATATTCAGCACCTGTTCACCAGCTAGTGTTTACCGTAATAAAGATTTTCTCTCTATTATTGGCATACTGGCGCACCATATCATTGTTATTTACTATGCTTGCTGCTGCTAAATACATCGGATCAGGTGTAGCTGCTCTAGGACTAATCGGAGCTGGAATTGGAGTTGGAATCGTATTCGCTGCTCTAATCCAAGGAGTTTCACGAAACCCAAGCCTACGAGGTTAAATACTGGCCTCTACAGGGTGAATTGCAAGAAGATCTTATCTAAGAATAAGAGAATTTGCAGCTAAGCTTAAGTCAGTGTATATCTAAGAATAAATAAGATAGTGATTTAAGAAAGTTCAACGACTAATCGGTGAGTTGCACTAACAATAACCCGGACACGAGCGCCCTGCTGCTTATATACTATTATAAGTAGAAGACATAGTCTAATCTAGTAGGTGACTACTAGCTAACTTATTAAAAAGAGTTAGGGCATACCATATAGATGGTATGTTTAATACCCAATGCAACTATTTACTTACGCAATTCTAGGATTTGCCCTATCAGAGGCTACTGGACTATTTGCGCTAATGGTATCATTCCTGCTACTTTACTCATAATTATTGAGTACTTAACGCTAAGTTAACCTATCCGGGGGGAATAGATATTCCCCCTTTCCACCTTCGATACCTCAGTACGTATAAAATAACATTCGGGCCCGCGCCTTTTAATAAACAAAAAGAGGCGGCCGCGCTAGCGCGCCCGCAAAAATAAACAAAAGAGGCGGCCGCGCTAGCGCGCCCGCAAAATCTGTGATTTTATAACCCGGGCGTAGCGCCTATCGAAGATTTTGCGCGGGTGTAACCCGGGCGTAGCGCAAAGATTTGGCGCTTCCGAATAAAAATCTAAGATTTTACTACGGGCTACGCGCATTCTTTTTTACAAATCTACAAAAAGGTAATCTAATGTGAGGAGATCTTTTTACCTATATAAACAACCAATTCTAAGAATAATAATAAAAATAAGTTTAATTTAAAGAAGTATTAGTAGAATTTGAATAATAGCCTATAAAAATCTACGGCTGCCGCGCCAATAAAAATAGAATATTTTTTCTTTTCTTTATAAGCGCCGTAGATTTTTATAACCGCGCTAATAAAATGCGCCTGCGCCAATAAAAAATAGAATATTTTTGCCTACAATTTTATAGCCGCGCGTACGCGCCGAATATTTTTGCGCTAACGCGCGGCGCCTACAATTTTATAAGCGTAGCCGCGCCAATGCGCGTCCGCGCAGAATATTTTTATAAGCGCATTTTTTATAGGCGCGATTTTATAACCGTAGCTGCGCGGTTATAAAAATATTTTTATTAGCCGCGCGGTTATAAAAATCTTCGATTTTTATTAGCCGCGCGTAGCGCATTTTGCGCTCCGCCATAAAAATATTTTGCGCTCCGCGCGGCGCATTTTTATAACTAGCGCCTTCTATTTTGTTTATTTTGTAGCGCAATCCAATTTCTTAAATAGAGTTTTAGGTTATAGGCGCTAATTTAAGAAGAATTTGTGTTATTAGTCATATAAAATAGATTTTCTAGAGAAGAAATATTTTCAGGCCCCGCCTTCTTTTTAAAAAGACGCGCTTTAATTAATATATTTGTATAAGAAGGTATACTTATATAATAAAGGGCTCCGCCCCCCGCGCTAAGAAAATTTACTGCGCCCTAATAACTACGCGCCTTCGATTTTTATTGGCGCAAGTAAATAATAGGAAATATTCCGGGTGTAGCGCTAATATATACAAATGTTCTACAAAATATAGTGCAATATTAATGTATAAATAAAATAAAATTATTGTATGAGTGCTAATAAAATATCTCCGATATTCTCGGGTGGCGCTAGAAATATACTGAGAATAAATCTAGTAAAAACTAGAAGGGAGGGCGTAGCCCTATTTTTATAGGCGCTATGCGCAAAATCGGCGCTCCGTTATAAAAATGCGCGGCTAATAAAAATATTTTTATTTTTATAACCGCGCCGGCGCAGAGTTAGAAAATTTACTGCGCTACGCGCGGGCGAAGCCCTTCTTAGCGCGTCCGCGCAGCTACGCTAATTAGGGCTTCGGTTATAAAATCGCGCCTATAAAAAATATTCTATTTTTTATTGGCGCAGGCGCAGGCGCATTTTATTAGCGCGGTTATAAAAATCTTCGGCGCTTATAAAAATATTCTGCGCGGACGCGCATTGGCGCGGCAGCCGAAGATTTTTCCTTTATAGGCGGAGCGCAAAATAAAATTTTATAACCGTAGCGCATAAAATATACTAAGCAATGAAATACACAAACGTAAACTATAAAGAGTCAAATAAAGAGCGCGCTATGCGCAAAATCTTAGGCGCTACAAAATAAAAATCGAAGGCGCCAATAAAAAATAGAATATTTTTTCCTTTATAGGCGCTAATAAAATTTCCTAGGAAATTTTATAACTACGGCTAATAGGGCGCGCGTAGCGCCCCCGCGCAAAATAAAATTTTATAACCGTAGCGCAAAGATTTAAAGGAAGTATTTTTGTAATGCAAGAAATTGCAAATAATGGAGAGCCAACTTCAAAGAATATAAGTTATGCTCTAGGGCTTAAAGAAGGAGTAGTTACGAATAAAGTAGTCACAATTTGTGAAGGTCTTATTATAAATAGTATTACACTCCCGCGCTAATAAAATTTACTAGTGGGGCGCTACGCGCGCCCTATAAGCGTAGCCCCGCGCTTATAAAAATATTCTGCGCTACGCGCTAATAAAATGCGCCTAATAAAATTTACAATTTTATAAGCGTAGCCGCGCCAATAAAAATAGAATATTTTTTCTTTATAAGCGCCGAAGATTTTTTCTAGGCGCGATTTTATAACCCCGCGCAAAATCGAAGATAGGGTGGGCGGGCGCAGCCTAATAAAAATCGAAGATTTTTATAACTAGCGCCTTTGATTTTATAACTAAGCGCATCTACCCGCGCCTATAAAAATCTTTGATAGGGCTACGCCCGGCGCAGTAAAAGTTATAAAAAATAAGTTACTCTACATAAGTACATATATTTGACATAGGTGTGAGGGGAGAAGGAAAACGTAACTCTAATCCTAGTATATGCGCTACGCGCGGGCGCGTACGCGCGGGTAAAAGATATACCCGCGCGTACGCGCGCTACTGAAAAAGATTAATCACAAATTCAATTAAGAAAATACTTTCTACATAAGTACATATTATTGTTGGTATTAAGGGTAAAATATACTGTATTTCCAACCCTTTCTATTCCCTCCTTCCTACCGCCCCCCTATAAAAATCTTCGATAGGGGCGGCCTTCGGCCCCCCCCGTTAGCGCGGCGCTCCGTTATAAAAATCGAAGGCGCCAATAAAAAATAGAATATTTTTTCCTTTATAGGCGCTTATAAAAATATTCGGCGCTTATAAAAATATTCTGCTAATAAAAATATTTTTATAAACGCGCATTGGCGCAGCTACGCTTATAAAATTGTAGGAAAAAATATTCGGCGCGTACGCGCGGCTATAAAATTGTAGGCGCCGCGCGTTAGCGCAAAAATATTCGGCGCGTACGCGCGGCTATAAAATTAAATTGTAGGCGCGTCCGCGCAGGCGCAGGCGCAGGCGCTGATTAACTCTACATAAGTAGCGCTACGCGCGGGGGCGCGTACGCGCGGGGTACAGAACATACTCCAACTACAACCCCGCGCGTAGCGCATCTACTCCTAAATACAAAGTTATAAAAAAGTTGTTACTCTACATAAGTACATATAATGGATATCGATCTCTATAACATACTGTAATTGCAACTATAATTATTCAATGTTTAACTAAAAATATCTTAACTCTACATAAGTTTCTTTTAGTTAATTTTAACTAATTAGAGATAGTGTAAATAGAACGTTATTAATTAGTGCAAATCTAAAAGAATAAAAAATATTTAACTCTACATAAGTTTCTTTTGATAGAGAACCCAATATAAGATACTAAAAATAGAACTGGTAATTATACTAAATAAAAAAGAAAAAGAGCCGCGAAAAAATAAGTTACTCTACATAAGTACATATAATTGTTATAGTAAATCGTACATACTGTAATTACAACTATTATTATTATATCATTAACTAAAAATATATTAACACTAGATAAGTTTCTTTTAGTTAATTTTAACTAATTAGTGATACTGTAAATAGAACCATATTTCTTAGTGTTAAATAGATGCGCGGGTGGAAGCCTATCGAAGATGCCGAATGTTCGGCGCGCTACGCAATAAAAATCGAAGATTTTGCGCTACGCTTATAAAAGTTAATTTACTAGTAAATTTTATTAGCGCGTTTATAAAAATATTTTTATTAGCCGAATATTTTTATAGGCGCCCTCCGGAAAAATAAGGCGCGGAGCGCATAAAAAAAAGGCGCGTACGCCATAAAAATCGGAGAACCTAATAAAATGCGCCGCCCTATAAAATTTCAAAGGCGCTACGCGCGCCTACGGCGGGCGCGCTAGCGCCGAATATTCGATAGGGGCTACGCTAATAGGGCGCCCCCCACTAGTAAATTTTATAACCGCGATTTTATAACTATGCGTTATAAAAATCTTCGATGGCGCGTCCGCGCAGCTACGCTTATAAAATTGAAAAAGGCGCCGCGCGTTAGCGCAAAAATATTCGGCGCGTACGCGCGGCTATAAAATTAAATTGTAGGCGCCGCGCGTTAGCGCAAAAATATTCTATAGGGCTACGCTTATAAAATTGTAAATTTTATTAGGCGCAGGCGCAGGCGGTCTTTTTCAGTTATTATCAAAAAAGATTTGGATATACTATAGGAATACTATTAATCGGTATATTAAGGTAATACTAGCTTAATAGGTAAAGCGCCAATCTGTGGAGTTGTGTTTATTTCGGTTCAAGTCCGAAGTTTTACCCGTGTTAGTCATAGACAATACTAATTTAATAGTTGTAAATAGCTTATTTGTTGTTATTATAAAAATAACTTTGTATAGGTAGACTATATTATAATAATTATGCTTCAATGAAGTAGAAAGGTCCAAGGTTAATAAATATTAGAAAATATTTCCATCTAGGATAGAGAAAAGTTAAAGAAATTAATAAAAGAATACGGCCGCGCGCGCGTATGCGCCTTCGATAGGGCGCCCCCCGGGCGTTTTAAGTAAATATTCTTTATTGTAAACAGTCTCCTAATATTATCCACTATTTATAGTATGTGAAAAATAATAAATATACACTACTAAATATAGTATATTATCGTTTAATATAATAAAATAGACCGCCACGGCGCTACGCCATAAAAATCTAATATGGCGCGTACGTTATAAAAATCTTCGATTTTTATTAGGCGGTGTATTTAAACAAAATTCGGCCTAATTATAAGTAGTTCCCCTTTACAGCTGGAATAGGCTAACTGGTTAAACCATACCATTCATACTGGTAAATCGACGGGTTCGAGTCCCTCTCCCAGCTATTTTCATCGAAATACTCAACTAACGCTTTTAGTAAATTAGAATATAGTGCGCCTGCGCGGACGCGCCTTTGCGCGGCTACGCCGTTATAAAAATCTTTGCGCGGGCGTAGCCCCGCGCCTATAAAAATCTTTGATTTTTATTGGCGCCGGCGCTACGCGCATTCCGTACGTTATAAAAATGCGCGGCTAATAAAAATATTTTTATAACCGCGCGTTAGCGCAAAAATAGAAGGCGCGTAGCGCATTTTTTATTGGCGATTTTTATAAGCGCGTTAGCGCAAAAAATAGAATATTTTTTATAGGCGCAGGCAGGCCTGCGCTAGCGCCTTTTACGAGTAAATTTTCTAACCGGCCCGCAAAATCTTCGATACCGCGCAAAAATAGAATATTTTTATAGGCGCGGCTAATAAAATGCGCCTAATAAAATTTACAATTTTATAAGCGTAGCCTATAAAAATCTTCGATTTTTATTCCGTACGCGCCGAAGATTTTTTATAGGCGCGATTTTATAACTATGCATCTTCGATAGGGCTACGCTAATAGGGCGCGCGTAGCGCCCCCCTAGTAAATTTTATAACCGTAGCGCTTTTAATTTAATTTAATTTAATTTAATTTACTAAAGTAATTTCTGTTTACTAAATATAAAATTAGTAGATTAGCAATATTCAAATTCTTTTTTAGTTATTTGTATAAATGTTATACTTCCCGCCGAAGGCTATCATCCGCGGAATAAAAATCGAAGGCGCCTATAAAGGAAAAAATATTCTGCGCTACGCGCATTCCGTTAGCGCAAAAATATTCTGCGCTACGCGCATTCCGTTAGCGCGCGCGTAGCGCCTTCGATAGGGCTACGCTTATAAAATTAAATTGTAGGCGCCGCGCGTTAGCGCAAAAATATTCGGCGCGTACGCGCGGCTATAAAATTAAATTGTAGGCAAAAATATTCGGCGCGTACGCGCGGCTATAAAATTGTAAATTTTATTAGGCGCAGGCGCAGGCGCTTAAATAAAATACTACTTTTTAATAACTCTTATAGTTAGCTAGAATATTAAATAGTTAATAAAACGTTTTTTAATCCTAATCGATACAAAAAATTTATACTACTATATAAGATTATAATAAATTACATTCTAATTTTTTGCGCGTACTTCTATTTTTTTTCTTTTCTTTATAGCACACTAGAGGGCTCGAACCCCTACATCTCCTAATCCGAAGTTAGGCGCTTTACCAATTTAGCTAAGTATGCTTTATAATTTTATATCTATTAATGAATAGGCGCGGACGCGCGCCCTTCTTTTTTTTTTTTAAAAGAGGCGTAGCGCAAAAACAGTAAATTTATAAATTAAAGATAGCGCCTATAAAAGAAAAAATCTTAGATTTTTGCGCGGCGGAATGCGCGTAGCGCCGGCGCGTACGTTATAAAAATCTTCGAAGGCGCTAGCGCTTATAAAAATATTCTATTTTTATTAGCTACGGTTATAAAATTTACGTAGTAAATTTTATTAGGCCTGCCCGCGCGTACGCGCCGAAGATTTTGCGCTCCGCCTCTTTTTTTTTATTAAAAAAAAAGAAGGGCGCCGAAGATATTGCATATTTTTAACATCTAAATTTGTGGGTTATAAATTTTATTAGTTAAATTGCGCGGCCACAAACTGATTATTAGTGCAATCACTAACCATAGAATTTTAGTCTATTTATGCTGTGAGTGATAGGACTTGAACCTACACAGTCTAAGACTACCGACTCCTAAGGTCGACTTGGCTACCAATTTCAACACACTCACATATATTTATATACCTATATAAGTTAAATAGAGTATATATTAAAAAGTATCTTTACTACAATATACCGCGCCTGCGCTAGCGCCTTTTACTAGGAAATGCGCGCCCGCCGTAGGCGCGCGTAGCGCCTTTGAAATTTTATAGGGCGTTATAAAATCGCGCGTAGCGCGCCCGCGCCAATAAAAAATAGAATGCGCGTACGCGCGCGCTAACGCGCGGCGCAAAATCTTCGATTTTTATTCCGCCGCGCTAATAAAATTTACGTCGTAAATTAGGGCTACGGTTATAAAATCGCGCCTATAAAAAATATTCGGCTAATAAAAATCGAAGATTTTTATAACCGCGCGGCTATAAAATTGTAGGCGCCTATAAAAAATATTCTATTTTTTATTGGCGCAGGCGCATTTTATTAGCGCCGATTTTTATAGGCGCCTTCGATTTCGTTCTTTTTGACGCTAATATAATCGAAAATTATATAAAGCGCATAAAAACAAAAAGGCGCTTACGCGCGTTATAAAATCAAAGATGCCTTCCCAAAGGCGCGCTACGCTTCTTTTTAAAAAAACGCGGGGGGCGAAGCCCGAAGATTTTTGCGCTACGCCTAATAAAAGTTAATTTACTAGTAAATTTTGCGCATAGTTATAAAATCACAGGCGCTACGCGCGCCTCTTTTTTTTTTATTTTAATTTTTATTTTTATTTTTATTTTAATTTTAATTTTAATTTTAATTTTAATTTTAATTTTAATTTTAATTTTAATTAAAAGGCGCTTACGCGCGGGCGCCCGCCCTCCCTATCGAAGGCGCGTCCGCGCAGGCGCGTTATAAAATTTACTAGTGGGGGGGCGGGGATGTATCGTTAATACTAATTTAATAAAGCGCCTATAAAAATCTTCGATTTTTATTGGCGCGGAGTAGATCACTTGAAATATAATGTGAGAAAAGATATAGAAAACCTTGGAAGGGCCTATAAAAATCTTCGATTTTTATTGGCCCACCACAAATGCTACGGATACTGCAACTTTTGCAACAATAATTAGAATATTACAAAATAGATACTTATTATAATTAGAATCCTCTACTTTTTTTTTATCTGATAGAATAAGTTCGAAAATAGGTACCTCTTTTTTAATAATAGAAATAATGTATACAATTGTGAAGAAAATTAGAATAAAAATAAGTGAGTGGGCTTCGCCCGCTGCACATATTATAGTTAGTAAACATTTGAATAACAGTAGGCTTCTTTACTGTAGTAATATCTATAATATAACAAGAAATATTTCGCATACTAGAAACAATAGCAAGGACCAGCGCAAGCTGAATAAAAGGATGGCCTTTAAGTAGCTTAAACATAAGAGATGTACGATAAAGCCCAATAAAAAAAGCTATTAGTCCTATAGATGCCGCGCGTACGCGCGGAAAATTTACACAGGAACATCAAGATACAGATATTCTATAGTAACCTTATTAGGTTCGTTATATAGTTCTTTTAGATTAGTAACAAAATGATTAGCTACATCTGATGAGATATTATAATTAAAGTAAAGAAGAGTGCTACATACTAGAATAATTGTAAAAAGAAAAATTAGCATCACCTTGCTAATTGAAATAGTATAACCGCGCGTACGCGCAGCCATGTAATAGATTCAACAGTCTTTGAAGAGACGCCCCCGCGCGGAGCGCAAAGATACCGCTAAAATAGTTTAGCGAAAATAGAATAAAACCAACAAATAGGAAATAATATCCTACTGTGTACATAATATAAAGGGCGCCAATAAAAATCGCGCCGCCCTATAAAATTTCAAAGGCGCTACGCGCGCCTACGGCGGGCGCGCGTAGCGCCGGCGCCAATAAAAATCAAAGATTTTTATAGGCGCGGGGCTACGCTTATAAAATTAAATTGTAGGCGCCTATAAAGGAAAAAATATTCTATAGGGCTATAAAATTGTAGGCGCGTCCGCGCAGGCGCAGGCGCAGGCGCAGGTTATAATTAGTAAAAAAAGCAGCACTAGACATGTAATCGATCATATCAACACTTGTCTCAGAAGGAAAACGGTCACTACTATTCGATTTCAGCCATTGTAGTAGAGATTTATAGATGCCGCGCTACGCGCGCGTCTATAAAACTAAATGTATTGTCCCCTTCTTCAAGAGGACAATGAATAAAAGGATTAGCTGTATCAGGACTAGAACTATTTGGAACATTGGACATGATAGCGTTAGGGGGCCCCCACCTTGAGAATAAACAAAAGCTCCTGTTGTTAGACCGCCCCCTACTGCTGCTGCAGCTTTAACTTGAACAGGGCGCGGTGTTGACTTAAAGATCTCAACAACTGTTTTAGTTGTTGCATATCCTCCAATAATTTTTCCCCGCGCCTGCGCCTATAAAAGAAAAAATATTCGGCTCGGCTGCGCCTGCGCCAATAAAAAATAGAATATTTTTTATAGGCGCCTACAATTTTATAAGGGGGCTCCGCCCCGCCCTATAGAATATTTTTGCGCTAACGCGCGGCGCCTTCTATTTTTATAAGCGCGTTAGCGCGCGCGTACGCGCATTCTATTTTTTATTGGCGCGCGGCGCGATTTTTATTGGCGCCCCATATTCTCAACTACTGTTTCAGTAAGTGCTCCAGCACCTTTAGATAGCAGCTTTACCGTAGTATTCTCGTTATTCCCGTTCACGGGATCTATTATAGTAGCATGATTATTACCTGTAAAAGTTTCAGCCACCGACGGTGTAGTACTCTCAATAGATTTTGAAGTAGTAGCAATATTGTCCATTGTATTATCTGCGCGGATCGTTAATAAATAGCCACTGAATCAGCAGTATAACAATTATAATGATAAAAAGACGAAAGATTGGCGAGATAATAAGGTTTAGGATAATAGCGGAAATCTTACATTTTACTGAAGTAATAAAATATAGAAAAGATTTTTTTGTAGCTAGCTGACAGAATAAATACCGGACCGATAATACTACAAGTAAATGCGAGATCTTCGAAATTAAAAATAGCACTATCCCGCCCGGATAAATAAATAGGAAGGGAAACATAAAGCTTAGTTGCAGTACAGATTGCTTTGTAGGTACACCCGCGCGGGCGAAGCCCTCTTCGGCGCGTACGCGCGCCTATCGGCGGGGGAAAAATTGCGTACGAGAATTAATATATGGAAGACATACCATTGCTACAAGTAGTACTAGAATTAGCGGTCCATTAATTAGTGCTGCATTAAGTAGTACAGGACTTAGTAGAATCATTACTAGAGTTACTAGAGCAATAGCTAGATATAGAGCATAACTAGTTAGGGGGCTTCGCCCGGTATCTAGTTTAGCAATATCTTTACTTCCTGATATTAGTCCTGTAGCTAGACCATGTGGACCAACTAGTTCGATGATTCCACGATCAAGTACTTTACTGATTGTATATCCTATTTGAAGAGCGCTATTGATAATGTAATGGTTGTAAATAAGATCAATATAGTATTTACCATTTAGGTATTTATATAGTTTCTGTCCTAGTTGTGTATCTGTAAGGTTAATTAGTACTGTTGGTAGTACATGATAGAAGTATAGTGCAGCACCTGCTCCAACAATTGAAAGAATAATTGGTAGTAGCTTAGGTAGTAGTGGAATATTTTCAGCTTCTACTAGAGTAATATGAGAAGGATGTGTGAACAGACTTTGTGATAGAAAATCACTTCCAATTCCGACAAATAGATCACTAGCAATGTATCCGAAAAAGATTGCTAGAATAGATAGAATTGCCAGAGGAATCATAACAATAGTAGGAGCATCATGAACATTGTTATATACAGACTTAGGAGCGTTCGGATATGTAAGGAATGTTAGACTAATAAGTCGTAGACTGTAGAATGCTGTAAGTCCAGCACTAATAGTACCTAGCCAATATGCGACCATACCACTAAACTGATACTGACCATATGCTAGCTCGATGATGATATCTTTACTATAGAATCCTGTTAGCCAAGGTAGAGCTATTAGACTTAGACTACCAATTAGAATAGCTGTGTATGTGAAAGGTAGGAATCCAATTAGACCCCCTAGTCGTCGTTGATCTTGTTGATCATATGTTGCATGTAGCACAGCACCAGCTGCTAGGAATAGTAGAGCTTTAAAGAAAGCATGGTTTACAAGGTGGAATAGTGCAACATTGTATTGGCTTAGACCACAAGCCATAAATAGGTAACCCATTTGTGAACAAGTACTGTAAGCAATAACTCGTTTAAGATCGTTTTGTAGTAGACCTGTTGATGCAGCAAAGAATGCTGTTAGAGCACCAACCCAAGTAATAACAATAAGTGTTGTTGGTCCATATTCAATAACTGGAGATGATCGTAGTAGTAGATATACACCTGCTGTAACTAGTGTAGCAGCATGGATTAGAGCACTAACTGGTGTTGGCAAAATTGTTACTAATAGTATCATCTTTTGACGAGAAAGAGTCCACTATTATCTATAGTTTACATCGACACAAAATAAACTATAGCAATAGCTTTCACTATTGATCGGACTATATCTTCTACTATTTTTGTTTAGCGCCCCTTTTTTTGAAATTGAGCGCTACGCGCGAAAATTGAAAATTGAAAATTGAAAATTGAAAATTGAAAATTGAAAATTGAAAATTGAAATAGTAGCTTCACGTGTAGTCTCTGAGGAACCCTTTACATAGTATTTTACAAAATGTCCCGGTTTCCTGCTGATTGCCCATTGTACTATCCTGAATACTGTTACCATAGTACATTCTATTTTTCTTACCTAATTGTCAATTGATAAGTTTTATGAAATAGTACTACTATGGTGCTACAGGCTTTAGGGTATTTTAGCATATAGTGAAGTTTAAGGAAGGCCCAAGTTATTTACCATTACCAAGTTTATAGTGAAATTCCACGGGTATAATAGGTAGTAGAATAGATTGTAGTTGTTTTATACTAGTTTTACTAATACGAATACGGTATGTTTGTCGTTGTTTATCACGAATCTTAAGG